GTCCTCTTTTGGAAGGCCAAACAAAGTAGTTTCGCTTTCAGAATGAAACACACAGCGTCTCCACGACAATACTACAGCGAGAATCAAAGTTACGCCTTCTTTCTTTGCGTAAACATTTGGGCGGTGTTATGCAAATCTTCCCACACAGTGACGTAGATATGGAGGGCGTGGACGAGTCTTAACTTTTATAAAGAATATCTCTTTGGGTTTGAGACTTTAGTCTTTGCAACTTTAGGGATCTTATCTATTCACGAACAGCTTGTAACACTCCAAAGAGAAAGGAAAACTTGAAATCGCATCATATGACCCCTTTAAGAACTGTTTACTGAAAGGTTCTTTGAGGAACCAAAAATAATTCTAATAAGGCATCACTGCAAAAAAACCTTTTTGGAACCTTTATTTTTAATTTTAGGTTTTTCAGATAATGTTTAGGTAAACAGTTGCTAAAAGAACCAATTTTTTTTTAGTGTAATGAACATTTTATTAATCTAAAGAACCTTCCTCCAGTATAACAATCAAATAACATAAAGGTTTTTCATGGTACCATCAATGGCAATAAAGAAACTTCATTTTTAGGAGTGTAGTTTTGTTGGTTCCTGTCCAGACAAAAAGTCTGGTGCATATCCTCAAATCTTGTTTAATCTTTTTCAATCCCGTCAAGTTGATTGAAACATCATAAAACAGTGGAAACCAGGTCACAGCCTTGCATTCTGTGATCTCATCCATGCACTGCAGTTTCAGAGTTAACAAAGCACATGTAATCTCACGTCTGTCCATTTGGCTGCTCCTTTTAGCATGTTTTCATAGGGTTAAAGTCTGTGCATCAAAGAAAGCCTTGTGGTCTTTGACGTCGGTGGATATGTTGTGTCAGTTTGTGAAGGCATCAAAAATATCCCATTTAGCTTGCACTTCACGGAGTAATGTTGCAATCATGCGTTATGCGCGAACTCATTTACAGTCTAACTGCCGCTAGTCAGATGAAGTCTTTTAAAGTGAATGGCAAGTGTTACTTAATGAATATTTATCCCTATTCTTCTCTGTAATGTTTGTGAGAATGGGTGATAAGGGCAAGCCCTCTTTTTACACCTTGTGAACAAAACGACTTTAAATAAAGCATTTGTGGAATCATATGAAAATAATCAAATGTATACAGTGAAAATAACATCACTTTTGAGCCGGTTTGTCCATGTGACTCGCACACTGCCGATTAGACTCGACTATTAGTATATCCAAAAGTATCCGGGATCTAAATGAGGAACATATTAATCCTCTTAACAGGCCTCTTCTTGGTTGTAAGAAGTAATGGTGTCAGTTTATCCATATTCAAGCAGCGCTTACACAGTTTACACGACAGGCTGATTCAGGTAGACTTGACCTGCCCGCCAACGCTTTCCCTCCCCCATGTTTAACCCAGAGCAATTCACAAAAGGGCAAGTGGCCTGAAAACACAGTTGTATTCAATAAAATGGTCTTAAAATAAACTGGGCACACCCAGATTTGTGATTTTGTAGTTCATTAGCACACTAATATACAATTTACACTACCAGTCAGAAGTTTGGATTAATGAAGATGTTTTAGTTGGGGGAAAATCGTATGCTTACAAAGGCTGTAATTTTTAAATAAATTAAAGAAAAATAGTATAAAAATAGTAATATTGTGAAATCTTTTTACAATTTAAAATGTTTTCTATTTTAATATATTTAAAAATGTAATTTATTCCTGTGATGACAAAGCCATTAGTCTTCAGTGTCTCAAGATCCTTCAGAAATCATTCCAATAAGATGATTTGCTGCTCAAGAATTTCTTAGGAAAATCAATGTTGAAAACGGCTTTTGCTGCTTAATATTGTTGTGGAAATAAATGCTGTTCGTGACCTTTCTATTCATGAAAGTATCCTGAAAAAATGTATAGCTAACCGTTTCCACAGAAATATTTAACAGACATTGGTCTTCAGACATTGGAGTAGCCTAATGATGCTGAAAATACAGCATTGTCATCACAGAAAAAAATTACCATTTAAAAAATATTAATACAAACCATAGAAAAAAATAGAAGTTATTTGAAATTGTAATAATTTTTCACAGTATTAGATTACTATTTTTACTGTATTTTTTGATCAAATATATGGACCCTTGCAGAGCATAGAAACGTCTAACAAAAACATCCTAATTATTCCACAATTTTGACCAGTAGGCCTATAATATAATATATATAAAACGGCACGTTTATTGTGTATTAACCCCCACTAGGGTTAACTTGCAAGTTTCTTTGCATGAAATGACGAAGAGTTCCTGCAGCGCTGCCACCTCGTGGCTACATTCAAGAAAACAGCCGCCTTTGTCAGGGATTGATGAATTACATAGACTAATAAAATAGAAAATCGTTGACGTGTGGACATATATTATTCCAAACTATATAATTCGCTTAACTATTTAATGTATGGTCTCATAGAACAAAATGAGAAAATACATTGAAGGAGACAGAGAGGGTTTATTCATGGGTAGAAAGGATGGCTATCTGTTTAAAAATCAACGAGTGCCCTTTTCTTTACACACAGTCCTGAAAATAACCAGAATAGAAAGAGCCAGAAAAGAACAGAACTCATTCTAAGAGATGGCATATAGAAACATAAGAGCAAATGTGACACATTTTGTCATAATGGAATTCAGTTTTTCACAGTGATTGAATATGTACATTCCCGAAGCTTTACTTGTACACGGACACTAAATAAACGAAAATACATTTAAACATGGTTGCAAAAGCCTTGTTTTAACATATTCAAAGTCAAATAGATACAAATGAAATATGGAACGTAAAGGAAGACGTTGTCGAGAGGCAATCCTAGTTTTAGCTTCTGAAGTGCTACATTTGGTCAGTTGGTGTCATCTTGATAAAAACTGTTCTCTGGGTTTGTGTTGTGACCTCGTTAATTTGTTTTTAGATGATATCGCTTTTCTTGACCCTAGTAAAATGTATTTATTTCATACTAAGTACAGGTACATCTAAAAAAAATTAGTGCATAGAAATTAACATACTTTTCAGAAGCCGGACATTTCTGTTTAAAATATCCTTTTTTTTATTGATCTTACGTAATACTCTAATTTTCTGAGACACTGAATTTTGGGTTTTCATTATCTGTAAGCCATAATCATCAAAATTTCAAGAAATAAAGGCTTGAAATATTTCACTCTGTGTAATGAATCTATATAATATATGGGTTTCACTTTCTGAAATGAGTGACAAAAAATATTGACCTTTTTCATGATATTCAAATTTTTTGAGATGTACCTGTATAGTTCAAATCTATTAACATATTTACAGACACATCGCTTAAGACTTACTGATATAAAAATTGTAATTAAACTTTATTTGGAGTAGTACTTGTGCACAACACACATTTCATAATATTAAGCCGAAAATGTGTTTTATTGTCACTATTGATGCGGATTGTATGATATTTGAATAATATCGTTCTTTAAATCCGCGATATAGTGTACCTAAAGTATACTTGCAATAGTTCTACTTGAGCACAATCAAATATAGGCCTACTTAAGTATATCTTCAGTTAGACTTCAGGACTACTTCCACACAGTTAAAGTGCGTTAGTACAAAATTAGTTGTTCCAATTTAGCAGACTTTATTATACTAAAGGTGCAACTGCAGGGTATTATTACGTTTATAAATATGTAAATGTGTTTGTAGAATACTTGGCATGAAATAAATGTATTTCAAATACATTTAATTATATTTATTTTTCACTAGGGGATGCATGTTACTTTAAATCTAAGACTTAAACTTTAAATCAAAAATACACTGAGGAATGTCATGTGGCCTGATCAAAAATGTCATGTGGCCTGATCAAATTCTCTTTATAATATACATATACATTTTTGGAGAAAAATCTGTGGGTTGCCTGAAAGGATTTAAGCCCGGAGTTTTAACCAGAATAAACACAGAAAGCACTGTTTTTCGAGAAAGGAATATTTGCTAAAAGATCAGCAAAAAAGAATGTGTCTTTCCACAAAAAGAATGCATGAGGTATAAATACAGCATTAAGATGAGTTCATCCTCAGGGTGAAACAGGTGTTGTAGTTCTATTAGAGAATAGAAAGATATACAGAATATCATGGACAGCAGCAGTGAAAGGCTTTGACTGATGTGCAGAAAAGAGCTGGTAGAGCAGATGGGTCCAGGACGGGGAGGGGGGTTTACCAAAACCTTTGGATCACAGGCCAGGAGACATGAAACAAAACGGTTAGAGATCTTCACAGTACTAATGCACTCAGGGCAAACTATGCTGTCTCCATTATTACATTTTAGTTTAGGGGGGAAAACTTGATTGGATAGTGATAACAACAATCTGAGTATCGTGTGAAATTAACTATTCCATTAAGCAAGTTCACCCAAAAATAAAAAAATGAGAAATGCTGAAATGTACTCACCTACAGGCCACCCAAGATGTAGAAGAGTTTATTTCATAATTGTAACAGATTTGAAGAAATTTAGCATCACTTGATCACCAAAGAATCCTCTGCAGTGAATGGGTGCCGTCAGAATGAGAGTCCAAACCGCTGATAAAAACAGCACAATGATCCACAAGTAATCCACATGACTCCAGTCCATCAATGAACATCTTGTGAAGTGAAAAGCAGTGTGTGTGAGTTTGTAAGTAAATAATCCGTCATTAAGGTGTTTTATCTTAAAATCATTGCTTCTGGCCAACACAAGTCCATAATCCATGACACTTAATCCAGTGAAAAAGTCCATCCTCTGTTGTCCTCTCACATCAAAATCTACTGACGTATTTGTTTAGAGCTATTTTGCGCTGTGAACAGTGCTTGATATGTGCATATTTCTCTCATGGTTCAGACAAGACAACCTTTTCACTGGAGAAAGCAATATTATGCATAGAGAACTTCAGCCGGAAGCAACGGTTTGAAGTTAAGAACGTCCTCATGCTACATTTGTTTCTTACAAACATGCAGCTTTCTGCTTCACAAGACATTAACTGATGGACTGGAGTCATGTTGATTACTTATGGATTATTGTGATGTTTTTATCAGCTGTTTGGACTTCTGACGGCACCCATTCACTGCAGAGGATCCGTTGGTGAGCAAGTGATGTAATGCTACATTTCTCCAAATCTGTTCTGATGAAGAAACAAACTCATCTACATCTTGGATGGCCGGACGGAGAGAACATTTTCAGCAAATTTCCATTTTTGGGTGAACTATTCCTTAAAAATAAAAGAAGATACAACATGAAGCATGCAAATCAGGACATGCAGCCAGCAGTAATTTTACAAATACACGTTGACTGTAAGGGACATGACAAGCAGATGCAAAATAAAAATTAGCAAAGCAACAGCATGTAAGACAACATTAAAATGAGTTTTGTAAGTATGACCATGAGACGGCATTTCCCCCCATATAATTGATTTGAATTATTAGCATTCATGCAGACATTGTTTCCCCACATCAGCTACAACATACTGAGAGTAAAAAAACAAAACTTACTTCATTCACACCTAAAATGAAAGAGAGAATAAACAGAATAAGGAAAAAAGTTCTGATATTATAAAATCTTCAGCCGGTGCTCTATTTTGTTTTACTTTATTTACAGACAAACGTCACAGGCACAAATCGATGAACACAGGAGATAACATAAATATAGAGTCATTCTGAGGAAAATGACTGAACTTTGGCAGGACAACCTTTAAATAGTTGGCACATGTTTTGTCCTCCTAAGGAGCTGTTTTTGGATCTTTCGCACGGTCGACTCCTAGAGTTTAACTTGGACTCACATACAACGCAGGTCTTGCGCACTTATTTCATACCAAAAATAGGTACATTTGTTTATTAATTACTTTGGAAAACTCCATAGTAATTGACAAAAGGACATTACAGCACTTCAACCCTAATATCAGTTTTTAGAACATACCTTCCAACTACTCGATGCCTATTGGGTAATTCATACTAAACGGGCATGATATATACTTTATTTTTGAGAGTTGTTTGTTTGCTAACACCGATTAGCATGAATCTTCCAACATAATCTCAGAACCATATCTTTTCACATAAAACTGGAACTAAAAGGTTCTAATCTCTTCATAATCCAATATGTGCGTTAATCATTTTTGTAAGATGATACTTTAAAATTTTATTCAAATTATGTATTGGACAGTTATGTATGGAAGCTTGTTTCTGCCAGCAATAAAATAAATAAATAAATAAATACAGGTAACTTATGTAACAAAATCTCACAATTTCAACTTTGTGAGTTTACAAATAAAAAAGGTAATTGAGACTTTTTCCCCTCACAAATCCTTTTTTCTCAGAAATGTAAGTTAAGATCCTGCAATTCTGAGTTTATCTCTCAAAATTATGACTTTTTTCTCAGAATCGCAAGAAAAGGCAGAATTATGATATAAACTCAGAATTGCAGGGGGAAAAAAGATCTGAATTATGTGATTAAAAAGTTGCAATTACCTTTTTTTATTTTGGAGGAAACAAGCTTCAATAGTTAAGGGAGCAACAGGCAACATTATACACAAGTTGAGTTTGTGATTATGAATACTGGCTAGAATTTTACAGTCTTGCCGATGGTCACATGACTACAAAAACGAGTACATTTTCCAAATATATGCCTGAAACACAGCCCAGAACATTTTTTCAGCTTGCTTCTTTGTCAAACAGTGTAATGCTTTACATTTATGACCATTTTTCTAATCTGCTGCAAAACCAGCTCTTCATTGCGCCCTAAATGTTTTAAGTATTTGCGCTGTTCGGAATGACATACAATACATCTCAACTCTTGAACTCGAAAAGCACATGTTCTTTCAACAGATGCCAGAGAGGACAAAGATATGAGCCAACCCTCTTTGCTTTACAGTGCTACAGCTTAATGTATAGTTATATAATATACACACACACTAACAAGTACACTGTATAGATAATAAAGAAATACAATGTGTGTGTAAAGAGAAACTCTCAAGACACATGCACAAAACATGATCTGTTAAATAAAACCAAGTCCTGCACGGTTCATCAGGTATCTAGATTTTGCTCGGTGTAAAAATAAATATTACTCTGCACTTTGTATGCAGATGAATGGGAATAGAAGCTGACAAGCGAAGAAAGAAGACCCTCCCTTGTCCCAGTTTGGAAAACCCTACTGCCGTACTTTTCCAGGAATGTAGTTCCGGTCAATACTTTCTTCCTGCAGGAACATGTGAAGACAGCGTTCGTTCTGGGCCAAAGGATGACCTGCAATTCTGTAAAGGAATATGAGAAACAATCCAAGAAATCTGAAAACACAATTCACAATATATTTGTGTAACCATTTCAGGCCCTCAAACATTAAGCATTTGCTTGATTGTCTTGCACTTCATTTATAATTTACAAGTGTCCCTCAGGTATCATTTCGATGGCTAACCTGTTGATGAACTGTTCAAGCCCAGCTCGTCTCTCCTCAATGAAGGACTCCTCAAAAATGCCCTCATCTCCACGGAAGGGAAGCTGTCTCTTCAATGCCTTTCCAGGCAATGGAGGCACAACAATCTAGGAAATATTTTCACACATTTTAACCCTATAAAGCATACTGCATCATATTTGATAGATGAATTTCTAAGGCTTCTAAATGATCAACATGATAAAAACTTGAAAAGCCTGTTGCGCACAATCTACTACAAGCCTTCTGTCACTTCACTGATAGATTATACTTGTTCAGTACGTTTATTAGGATAATTCTATAAATGTAAATATGAAAATTGCATCAGGCTTTTGAGAAAAGGTTGTGTAAATCTCTCAATCATCTTTCCATTGCATGTGATTATATTTCGCCCCCCACAATAAAACTACAAAACTTTTATCATAAAACTAAGCATTTAAATTTAATCTTACTAAGACATATTGGGATATATTATAGACTGACAACAGATATTTATATGCATTTCATGTACGTCTGCTATATTGTTTTAAAAATCTCAATGATTTACATAAAATAAATTACTATAGATACCTTCAACTTATTTCCCCCCCCATATAAATACCAATAACTGCACTAAATTGCATATTTTTACTCAGTTTGAGGTGTTTTTTCTTCTCTTTTAGTCTGAGCTCCATATTCTCACTATATCAGACCATAGGCCAAAAAAGTCAGATGAATCAAATATGATACAAAAAACAAAACACAACGCATTTTAATTTTTTATATATTTTAGCTAAAGGTTGAACAAGCTGTCCTATTGCTAAAAATACACATTCTCTGACTATTAGTTCAGATGTCAGGCTTTACAGTGTTTCGTACAACCAACCGTTTTTTAATAAGTAAAACATTCTTCTGTAAGGACATGTAAAGACAACCATATGTTCAATACGAGTATTTTATGACAAGATGTTTCCCGCAAGGTCTCCAGGATGTGATACCTTGCTGTCTCTTTCCAACTCATTCTTCAGCCACTCGAAGTCGCTGTATCTTCGTCTAACACACGACTCCTTCAGTTTAAAAATGGGAAGATTTGTCTAGATTTCACCGGAGAAAGCAGAATAAGTCACATGATTATTAAATAATGTCTAACGTTACATATCTTAGCTGAGTACACGATGCAGAATGTTCTCGAATTTATCTAACACACATTGACAGGTATTATTAAAACAACAAAATGATGCATTTGGAACAGTAACGCATCCAAATGTTTATCTTAATGGCTTAGATGCAACTGGCTAGAGGTTGTTGATGGTTGACAGAGTAACAACAACAGCTAAATTAGCTCAATCTCTCTCCGCCAAAACTGCTCTAACCCAACTTGCTCACATAGAAAAACGATTTTAGACCAAAAACCTAACAGTTCATACAATAAAGTCCCGTTTTTAGAAGCTTTCCGAGGGATAAGATTCTTTCACGTCGAGTGAGGTGTTAGTTAGCATTAGCGCGCAGGCTAACGTTAGCTAGGCCGAACCGAGCCGCAGACTCTCTGACACAAACACACAATCACATTCATTCACTGGGCCAGCCTACCTTCATCCGGACTTCGTAAGTGGTGAAGCGATTGCGGCCGACTCCTATAGTCTGGGGGTCGTACACGTCGATTTCCAGAAAGTTGCTGGGAGGGCCGTAGGCGTCCGTCAGGTCCTGCGGTTTAGAGTTTAACCGACGAGTATCGGCCACTGTGGCTTCGGACATCTTTGATGACTTACTTCAGACTGACTACGGCAAGGTGTAGTCTAGGGCACGTATAGATCAGAAGGTTTTGATTAAGACATTAAATCGATGGATGTTAAAATGAGCTAGGTACCTCTGCGAATCTAAAACTTGGATGTGTCCAGTTAAGCAACAGAACCAGGAAATCCTGTGCTTCCCGCACCCCCGATGCGATGATATGTGCAGCAGTTTGGGAGACGTATTTTATAAAGCACCTAATTTTTTTGCCTAGCTAGCCAATAGGCGTTCTGTTTTCTGATGACTGACAGGTAATTGACCTATAAGATTTTAGAAGACCGCGAAGGGGGTGGGCTCTTCAGGGTTCCAAAAAATTTCTTAACTGAAGGAGAGACTGGAAAGGTGTGGATTGGAAAGACCAGATTTTTTTTATTTTTTATTTTATTTCTCAGATTGTCATTTTAAAAAAAAAAACATTAAAACATTATTAGCACAATCTATTTAGGTACCTCTGCGAATCTAAAACTTGGATGTGTCCAGTTAAGCAACAGAACCAGGAAATCCTGTGCTTCCCGCACCCCCGATGCGATGATATGTGCAGCAGTTTGGGAGACGTATTTTATAAAGCACCTAATTTTTTTGCCTAGCTAGCCAATAGGCGTTCTGTTTTCTGATGACTGACAGGTAATTGACCTATAAGATTTTAGAAGACCGCGAAGGGGGTGGGCTCTTCAGGGTTCCAAAAAATTTCTTAACTGAAGGAGAGACTGGAAAGGTGTGGATTGGAAAGACCAGATTTTTTTTGTTTTTAATTTTATTTCTCAGATTGTCATTTTTTTTTAAAAAAACATTAAAACATTATTAGCACAATCTATTTAGCATATTTGTTGATTTCAGTGTTGTGGCAGGCCTAATCGTGATGAGCAGAAAATGCTTAGTAATTATATGGCTATTAAACCAAAGTCCCTTTGATTAAACGACCTGCTTTATAACATGCAAACGTACCAAAATAATGCATAAAAGAACATAAACCAGTGTTATTTTATAGCTTACTATCGCTTGTATTAGCCTACTCTTTGTAACTAAGTTTTATTTTTAAGTCTGTTTTATTTTAATTTTAGTTAACATTTTAGACATTTTGTTGTATGTTTTGACATTTTAATAGCTCATTTATTTTTATTAATTTTATTTATTTTTATTAGTTGTATTTTTTATGTCTATTATTAGTATATAGTTTTCATTTTAGTTTTAGGTTTAGTTATAGTACAACAAATTGTTTAAAATAAAATAAGTTTAAGGTTTGGTTTATTTTATTTAATGTAAGTAACAAACATGTTTTGTGGTTGTAGTTTTAGTTTTAATTGACTATTAAAACCATGCCATAAACTTGTATTCAGAAACTTTAATTTGAATGAAATATAAATTATTCCCCATTATTTTGTTATGTGGCACATTTTGGGTTATGATCAATCACAAAAAAAAGAATTAAAGGCAAAAAGCATTTTTTTTTTACAAAACTTTGTACTATTGTAAATTAGAAAGGCCTAATATTAGATAGGCTAGATATCACTATCTGTGCTGCATTTTTCTTTTTATGAAAATATTAGTTTTTCTCGTGTATATTTAGTGCCAATTACATGATTTGATATTTCATAACTGTATAAAGACCTTGTAATTCCTCTACCTCTGGAGAGTGCCAAACTTTAACATCAAAAACCATGTTGATGTTTAATCATAAACTGTGTTAAATAAAACCATCTTGAATGATTACCTTTGACCTCGACCCATAAGTGTGATTCGACTGCCTCTCTGATGTGTGGACTATACCTTCTTTATATACATATATACTGTATATATATATATTTTTTTAAAATTTTATTTATTTATTTATTTTTTTGAATGACAGGATAAATTCAAATGCAAATGCTGATACGTCATGTAGGCCTATTTACTGCACCCTTGCAGTGGACCGATGAGTAACTCTAACCAAATACACTGTTTTGGTATAAATGATAATTTACGCATCAGAAGGTTAAACAGACCATCAGGATGACGTTGTTTTCCACTAGGAACTTCTACTACCTGACGAGCACTAGGACCCGGATGAGCAGAGATGTGGAGTGGTCTGCACGCGCCCCTGTCAAAAGTGTAGTGTTGGCCACACGCGCGCTGCACAAGATGCTGGTGTACATTACAGTGAGGGACTGCTGAAGTCTGTTACGGAGTAGGCTACTCAAGAAAACTATTCTTTTCGACATGGAGATCACCGATTCCACTTGTAAGTAAGATTAGTTTTTCATACGAAACTAGCCTTACAGTTATCGTCTTCGAAATAAGTAATAATGGATTATTTTAGCTTTTTATCATTAGGCTGCTAAAATAAGTCAATCACACCTTTCCTGTGTACCTGTGCAGGTGAATCTGATGTTATTACACAATCAGGAGCGTCATGCACTCATGATTTTTGAGGGGGCACTATACAGTCTACGGGGTGGGGGGGGGTCATGCCACATGACAATGTGACACACAGCAGCCACAATAGCACTGTATAACTGATATAGGCTTATGTTTTATTTATTTTTTTCATTTTTATTCGAAATATTTCCAAACGTGTTAACTATATCAGCAAATATCTCGATTCTCAAAAATGTGTAAGTAAATGCGTTTTGCACCTTTATAGATTATGTTATTTGATCAATAAATGGTGATGGGCAAACTAGACTAATAGTGTAATCTATTAACTACACATAGCCTAAAAACCCGACTTTTTACTTAAGTAGCAGATATGGCTGTCATGCCATAAAATATTTTTAATACGACTGACTTTGTATTTAATGTGAATTTATTTAATAACAATATTATAAGTTACTAATTATAACACTTTCATTTAACAGAGAGCAAAGAACATACATTATCAAAGAACATTTTCATTCAGTCTAGCTAGAGTTCAGGCACTCTCAAAAACTCCCTTTAAAATCACTGAAGCTGTTTACACTGTGAAATGAATATCTTAAAGGGGTCATATGATGCTGCTAAAAAGAACATTATTTTGTGTATTTGGTGTAATGAAATGTGTTTATGCGGTTTAAAGTAAAAAAAACACATTATTTTCAACATACTGTACATTATTGTTTCTCCTCTATGCCCCGCCTTTTTGGCGGTGTTATGCAAATCTTCCCACATAGTGTGGTAGATATGTGGGGGCGTGTTCGAACGAGCCGTTTTAGGTAGGTGTGGCTAACTCTTAACTTTTATAAAGAATATCTCTTTGGATTTGAGACTTTAGTCTTTACAACTTTACAGATCTTCTTTATGCACCAAGAGCTTGTAACACTCCAAAGAGAAAGGAAAAAATGAAATCGCATCATATGACCCCTTTAACTTACATTCGTACGCACAGCTGCACTTTGTTGTTTCTGATGAGAGAATTCGCAGGATAATTCAGTCAGCGAGCAAGTGAACAAAACACCTCGTTTCAGCGATGACTCATCTGAACGTCTCTGATTGGTCATTGCATTCATAAGCTCAACAGAATCGTGTGTGATTGGTTATAATGCAGCGCTGTACAAACGCGTCTGTCTGGCTCAGCGCCAGCCAGCGAACGCAGATTTGAATTTAGCAGCTGATGATATGACGCACTGAACGATCTAATCACGCTGGTGTGATTGTATCAAATATTTAAAAAATATATTATTCGGCTATTTTTGGTTTTTTGGATGCTGCATTCAAAATCCACTTGGCTCAGAAATCTGCCCCCTCACTTTGAATGGGCACGACGCCTCTGTACACAATCATATTTTTTGGATAAAAAGGAAACCTTATCAATACACAGTTGCACAGTTCTGTTAGTGATGCAATAGATGCTTAATATCTTAATGGATGAATGAAAACATGTCATCTGTGTCAGACTAGGGTAATTTCACGAAAAGGATGGCTTTTTGTTTCCCTTATGAACATAAGTGTAAATAATTATTTCATTAATTACTATGCCTCATTAGCATGTACAATTATAACCATTTTTATATAGTTTAGTATATATATATATATATATATATATACACTGTAAAAAATGACCGTGA